ATAAAAGCCCAGAATTGGTTGTGCCAAGTGCTCCTTGTCTTGTAGAACTGAATTATGAAAGAAGAATCAGGTGGGGCCTTGGGAGGGGGTGGGTAGTCAGCCCATCAAGTCCATAAGTGACTGAAATTTAACTCAGATTCTTAGAGATGTGCCGAACTCTCGATGAAATTCACAGGTGTGTCGCCAGATACAACAGTTTGCCTGCAAAACTGGCGAACATCGCATATGCATTTTAGTGCGCTGCCCCCCGCGTAAGCACTTGTTCACCACTCGCTGCAACCAGACTCACAGAAAGCTCACTGTATGTGTAGTGCATATCATTTCTTGCCAGTTTCTGACCTCGAAAAAAAATAAAATTTCGAAAATTCCCATTGTAGAAGTTAAAGGACAATTTGGCGAGCAGACGAGTGATCTCGATCAATTTTCTTCAGGTCTGTTTATTGATGTTGCTCAGGAAATACGTAAAAAAGAAGGCCAGTAGAAGAAGCCTGCTGAGGCTAGAGTGGGAGGCCGCGGAGGTTGAGAAAAAAAGCAGAGTGCAGTCAATGTCTTCTGATCAGCGTCAGGGGGGGGGCGACCACCGGTACAAGTAATTATGTGGGGGCAGTTGGCTTGGTGGCTTTGGCCAACTGCAACTGTCGAGCCAGTACGAGGTTCTTCCGGCGGCCGGAACCTGACTGCCCCCGCCTCCGTCATAGCCAATCGGCGCTGTCTAATTAGTTTTAGATAGCCTGAAGAGACCTTGTAAATCAACCGAGAGAAAGCTCTGTCATCTAGGTAGCGATCTGTATCTACCACATTCTTACACATAGAGCTATTGAAATTACCACTGCAATCGAACATGGCAGTGGGTAAAAAACGACAGACCTCGTCGAATCCAACTTCATGCTTCACTTTATTTACTTTTGTTGAGTTGGAGGAGCGCAAATTGGCCAGGTCTGGTTTTATAAAAGGCTAGACAACAGGTTAGCTGAAGACGGTCCCATAAAGCTATGAAATTCCAGGTTATGTTGAAAGCCCGACTTGAGACTCGGTAAACGAATACGATCTAAAAGGTACTTCAAAATGCACGACTATCCAAAAATTGCCGCTTGTACTTAATGCACTTTTCTGTCCTTTAGGTATCGGTCCTAACACTGGAACGCCTCAAACCGTGACTTGGTCCAGCTGAACTTGAGACCTACCCTCACCTGACAGCGTTGGCCACTTGCACTACGGACTTTTGTGCGCTAAGGCATCTGAGCATGGCACCGACTGCATCATGCGCTGCGCTAACTGCATCCATTCGTGTCACGCTAAATGCACAACACTAGCAGCTTAAGTACAGTCGATGACCTAACTTATTCAAAGTCATGATCGA